CCGTGGTGGAAGGGAAGAAAGCTTATCATCAGGTGACAGAAGAATGCCCTTATTGTTAGCTCCAATACTTACAAATAAACCTTCCCAGGGTGTCATATACCGGTATAAATACAGCACCCCTGTGGCACTGAGCTAATATGTTAATAGAGCAGGAACTGAGGGAGGGCTGTACCTGAACCACTTCCTCCAGCACACAAGCACCTCAAGATTTGGCATGGATTAGCTGTATGAACTGTGGCCCACGATGCACAGTATCCCAATTAATAAAATGTTTGCTAATATGCTCACAGGAGGATCTATAACCCTCCTTGTGTCCCAGTCTTCCCTTTGGCTGCAGCTCCCAGTTCTACTGTGGTAGCTCCTGAGACTCCTCAGCCCCACGGCAGGGTTTGGTTGTGCAAAGTGCTGTGCAAACACTGCAGCACAAAATGGATTCTGCTCTGAAAAGATGAGCTCGCTTCCCAGCCTGACAGACACTGCAATAAGTTCAAGGAATAACTCCAGCTTTATTGCAGCAGAACTTAACAGAATTAGATCCCCCGAGCCTAAATTTACATGGGAGAAAATAGAAGTATTTGTTAGATCGTGACTTCACATCCCAGGGCACAGGGGGGAGAATTTTCATCGAGCCATCTCCTGCACGTCAGGAAATAACCTGAAATTTTACTCCTTACTGTTCTTCAGCAAGCCAACTGCTCCACGGATCAATACATTCTGCAGTGAAATAAGATATTATCTGCATTGTAGTCCATAGAAAGTTAGCACAAAGCAAATAAGGAACTGGGGAGTGGCACAGAGGATCTTTACACCTGGTGGGAGGTGCAAGAAGCTGACATCATGGGCAGCCCATGCAAGAAGGAGTGGTGTTCTCTGCAAGCAGGGAGGAGGATGGGATGGAGAAAGGTGCCCTGCTTGAGGTGGAGCAAAGGTGGATGAGTTGCCTAGGGCTGGGCTTTTGTACACCAAGGGATAATAGCTTTCCAAGAATTTGTATAATTTTTCTGGTTTCTGCATCATTAGTTAGTCTCATAACTCCATTAGACAGAGAAAACACACAGCATTCAGGGTTCAGACATGAGCTCTGAGGCAGTGTGTTGTGGTAGCTGTGTGATTTGAATCACTATCTAATACAGATATGTCCCTGATGCATTTCAAACTGAAGTGTGTGCAAATCATTTACCAGGGCAGTTGACCCGTTCACAGCCAAAGTTGTAAGGGAGTTAATATGTCATAATTTGTAACACTGTGTGCTTTTTTGAGGCATTAATTGTTTCACTGAACACTGCAAACGTGATCTCTGATTCCTTCAGGAAACTCACTGCTTTCTATAGCTCATTTTTCACAGTAAGCACAAGTTTGGCATACAATTATTAACAAAAAGCAGCAACCTGCCCAAAACCTAACAGATAGTGAACTACGCTTCAAATGCCTTTCCATGGTGTGCCCTTTTTAGTTAATAGCCTCTATCCCCATGACACACTGTATGCTAATCTGCCCTGATCTTGCAAATATTTATGTGCCAATAAGTGCATCAAGCAAACCCCTTTTATTGAAATACACAGGTACTCACTGCAAGTTTTGGGTTAATTCAAAGACTGATCCCAACATTGATACAATACATAAATATTAATATAGTTTCTTTCAAAGCTTCTACTGATGGATTTTCGCTGCAGAAAAGATAACTCATACCAGCTAACCAGCTACAGATAATACATTTGAAAAGAGAGATGCTAAATATCACTTTTTGTTTTGAAACTTCTTCATTCCTCTTGAAAGAACACACCCGCCGAATTTTCTAGTGAATGTAGAGCAGAGCAATGCACAGAAATGTCACAGGAGCTCTGCCTTAGCTCTTATAATGATCCTTGATATTATTTCTGCATCTCCACCACAGATGCTAGTGAATCTATCTTCCTCAACCCCACTCTTCACTCTTCAGAAAAGTAGTGTCCACTTGATGGAAGAAATATATATGGCCTGATCAAGGTATTCCTGGACTCTTCCAAGTATGCAAGTGTAATCTGAGTTCAAATGACTGCATGGTTTTATTGTGAACCTGGCATTTGATGGCAATCACCTTATTTTCCCCTATCTAAAATGGGGCTGGCAGGCATTTGGTTATCTCACAGGATGAGCTGAAGTAGGACACGAATGCTGGCCAAGATCTTTGAGAATATAATGGTTACTTTGCATTTTATTTCCTTTTTAAAAAGAGTAAAGTCAGGAAATGTTGCATGGCCATTCACACCAGATAAGCTATTGAATAGATGCATCTACTAAGTCATTAACCATGAAAATGCTTTCTTGTGTCTTAAAGAGTCCTTAATTTTAAAGTGAAAAACACTTGCAGAAGTTTTCACCTTTGGCAATGCCATTGTGCACTGCTGTTTGTAGACTGACAGAACAAACCACCTCGATTACCCTGGAGGTCTAGAGTGAGAAAGGAGAAAGCTCTTTCTCACTTTTCATAGAAAACACTGGTCTACTGTTTAAAACAAAACTTAAAAGAAATCCAAGAGCAGAAATTGAATTCTTAGGAGTTTTTATGCCTGACTGCTTGCTCTCCTGGGCTTTTTGTTTTGTTTTCTTCACAGGCTTTTATTTGGGGCCCTCTGTTTCCACCACACTGAGCTGCATTTTGAGCATACACTTCAGAGCTGCTAGCAATGGCTGTGGAGGGCAACAGCCCGGTTCCTACTCAGGGAAACCTTTAGAGTCTGCAGGGGGCTGGAAGAGCCCTCAAGAGGTGCCTCCCCTACGCTCCACCTTGCAGAAATGTACTGCAATGTGAGGCAGGCACGGGTGTGTAAAGACACCCTGAGCTCTGCCTAGGCTGCCTGCCACTAGCACCCAGCAGGGTCCTGCAGCCCCTGTGCAAGCCTGCCCCACTTATAGGAGATTTCCTTCTGCAGGGCTTGCTGCTATTGCATCTCTCTTACATCCTTGGCTGTGCTAATACCTACCCCAGGTCTGCAGATTATGTGTTAGAGAACATATTAACAGGAGCCAATAGAAGGGAGAGGCAACTAAACAGAACTTTTCCCACAATTCGTATTGTAAGCAAGTGCAAATTACCATTTGCATAATTTTACAAAGCATTTACCACTCTAGGGTGATCAGAAAGTCCCGACCAGGTGACATACAACAGACAAGCTGTCACCAACAGAGCTGCTGGTTTTCTTAACAAGAACGGAAAACTCAAAAGCTTTGTGCCAACAAAACCACTTCCTTGCTGTAAGCTGCCTTGCATCCAAGTGCTAGGAGGAAAATGCAGAACACAAAGGTGTACAACCACAGCACATCGTCAGTGCTGGCAGGCAGCACGTTAGGTCCGGGATCCGTGATCGTTATCAGATTCAGGCACGTCTTCCTCAGAAAAATTTGATCCAGGTCAGGCCTTGGCACACGACTGCAATTCTGTGGCGACTGCAAATATACTTTATAGCAATTTCTACCGCCTTTGTATTTTCACTCTGAGGTAACTTCTAATCCAATGCAAAGCCTGCAGGTACCTTTGTAACCCATCACTGCTTTTCTCAAACAAACACAAGCAAATAGAGTGAGCTGATACCAGCCCGTGCTTTGCAATACGCAGCCGTGGCAGCCTCAGCATGTGGCAGGAGCTGTAAAGCTGGATTTAGTGTCTCCTTGGACTGCTGCCATAAACATAACCTCACGCACTGCCATGACTTCCTGGGCTTCCCCACCGCCTCTGCTTCATATTTTAAACAGGAGGCATTCATGGCTTGAATGCAGCTGACACAGGACAGAAAGAATTCACACTTTTTTGCTGGATACTTCTCTGATAACCTTGACCTCACCTGGCCAACCCCATTTAGGAGTTAAAATCTGCTGGTTTGATGGGACCCGTGCCATGAGCTTGCCACAGCGATCCGTGCTTGTGCCCTGAAACACCCCTGCCAGATTCCTGAATTGTGGGCCTGACCTAACTGAGTATTTTTCACCTTCTCATTGATTAGCTATCATGAGGAGGGAACAGCATAATTGATGAACCTCTCTATTCTCAGCATATGCAGTCCCCATAGAAAACCTATTCTTTTCAGGCTTATTATTTTATTTTCTGCTTTTATTGTCTCTCTGAAGCAATGCTACTTCCTAATTAAGTGCATCAAAACCACAATACAGCAATCCAAAGTATTTTTCTATTTTATTTCCTCATAAAGGATTATGGTTGCAAGAATGACTGTCACTAAGCAGTTATAGCACTATTAGTAATACACACTTATAGTATAATAATACTCAAACCCTGTTGTTCAAGACCCTGGAAACCCACAGATATTCATCAGCTGGTGTTCCAGAGCACTCCCATAAATTGCCATTCACATTCTTCATGCTTTTCCTCAATTTGTGGCATCACGTTTAATTTTTGATTGACAAACCCAGTACTGACATACTTTACTACAATTTGAGGTCCATATGCAATTTGGTTATTTGAAAAGCAACTCTCTCCATAATCACAGAATGGTATAATTTTCATCAGTATATCCATCCAAACATGTATTTGGACATACTTTAGTTCAGGCTTGTACAATCTATGCAACAGTTTACAGACCACAATATTTTTAATTCAGAAAAAAAAAAGTCCTTGATGCTTCTAATGACTTGGCACATAACCCGCTTAATGCGACAGCCAAAGACAGGATGGAGCCATCGTATTTTCACATTACTGTTTGTGTTGCAAATGCATTCTGGTGAATGAGAAAGATTTTGGTTGCATATGAGTTTTGCAGGCACTCACCAAAACCTTCAATTATATTTTGTGTCCCGTCTACAAAACACCATTTAGAAAAATTAGGGGAGACATGTCACAGCCTGGAGGTGGGGGGCAAGGCTGAGAGGCCATTGCTCATTCCAGCTGTGGGTGTGGGGGGGGCAGAGCCTGCCATTCCCTTCTTTATCTGAAGGCTGGAGGGCACGGAGACACCACCCCAGCTCAGAGCATCCCTGGCAGCAGAGCACCAAACAAGCTTCCCCGGTACCTTGCAATTTCTGGCTGTACTCTGTCCTGTCGGATTGACTCCTCCTCAAGTTGCCGTGGTCCCCGGCGGTGCTGGTGCTCTCTACCACGGGCTCTGTCCTCCTCCTCTGCCCCATGTACAGCTTGTTCCTTAGCAGGGTCAAATTCCTCCTCCTTCCCCCGGTGCCTTCCTTCCCCGGACAGTCCATGCTCGCCACGGACAGCCTTGCGTGCTGCTGGTGGTGCTGGAGGGGGACAGTAGCTGGGTTTTCAGGGAGGTGGCCTCCCTGCCCAGGTGAAGGCTGGTTGCCTTGGGCTCGGGTTTGCAGCAGGGCTCGCCAGGCTCGCAGGGCCCCGGGCTCAGCCCTGCCACCTGTGCCGGAGCAGCTCCACCCCCGGGAAGCTGCCGCCCCGGGCAGCGTTTGCATTCACCTGCCCTGTGTGCGAGCGCCTGGCGGGGCCGCTTTCAGAGCCAGCCCCAAACCGCAGCCATTCCCGGCCTCTCCCTGCCGCAGGGCATGCTCCTCACCCCGCCGCAGGGCTGCCGGCACACAGGAGCGGGAATTGCCTCCTCCCGGCTCTGGCAGGGAGGTGGCAGAGCGTGGCATCTCCCTCTGTGCCCTCTCTGCACTGAGGGCAGGTGGGCGCAGAGAACAAGGCCAGTGGGAAGGGCAGGCCAGCCACCTCACTCCGGCAGCCTGGTCAGGACCCCAGCTCCCTGCATATCAAGTTGCATCTGCCAGTCTCCTGACCCCACTGAGAAGTGCAGCTTTTGGGCTGGAAACTCCGGATCTACAGGTTTGAAAGGAGACCAATCCCTCAGGACAATGAAGGAAAGGGCTGAGAAGGACATGAAAGCCCCTCTGGGAGGCAGGAAGCAGCGTTGAGCTGGTGCTTGTCTCAAACCAGGCTCTGTCCCACTCTACACTATGCACTGAGGAGCCAAAGCCAAGGTGAAAGCCTGCCAGGGGCCTGTGAAGGATACCACAGCCAGCCACCAGGCTGTGATAGCCAGGGGAGAGGACACCAAAACACCTGTTCATAATACCTCTGGATTAGCCCCTGGAAGAGATCTTATTATCCTGTCTGTTAGCAATGGCCTCTGGCACACATGTACTGTCTAGTGATCCTCTGTAGCACTGGTCTAATCAAGCTCATGTCAAAACAGCAGGACTTGCTGGCATCTAAGCTTGGACCGGGCTTATCCTGGGAAGAGCCCCAACAGCCATCAGCAGCAATCAGTGCTGCTGCTGTGATACCCAACCCTGCAGCCCTCGCTGCTGTAGGAAATGCCTGGTGGGAGCCCCGTGGTGCAGCTTAATCGGTGTCAGTCTCACGCACAATTATTGCCACAGCATCTGCCAGGGGACACAACGAATGTCCCTCTGACAGAGGCTGGCAGAGCGTTTGGCTTTAGCACTGCCACGCTATGTCCCTGAAGGACTGTCTAGTAAAAAACAAGCTGGGATGAGACGTAGTAGTGTAACCTCATTTCCAAGTTTTGGTTTTTTTTTTACAAAACTGGTCCTGAAATGCAATCTTCTCATCAAAGCCCTTCATTTCTACCCTGTAGTGAAAAGAAGAGGTTGTGAAACTGTTAAGCAATAAACTACGTCAAATTGCAGCACCATGCCAGTGCTGCACAAAGTGTCCAGCCCAAACACAGCCTGGCAGAGGAATAAAGTGGTGAGGGGAATACTGGGAAGACTTTGTGCTCACACAGAGAAGTCACATATTACATAGGCAATTCATGCGTTACGTCCTGCCTGCTCTTTGATATTTCCTAAGAAACTCTTTATTCTGCAAGTCAGACCACAAAAGTTCCTTGAAAGGCAAAGCAGTGGTGACAGCAGGGAGAGGCGTAGGCAGGGACAGACTGGTGACACACTAGTGACAAACATCAAAGCTCTAGCAACAAGTAGTACACAGACTAAAGTGAGAGTTAGGGAAATCAATCAGAAAATTTCCTTACACTGGGGACTTTGGGAGGAGCTTTTATTTGAAGCAATAGCTTGGTATTCATCAAGGGTGGTAAAACTGGTTTAAACAGTCACCACCCTGACTGCCCCCCTTCCCCAGATGAATTTGTTCCCATTATTGCTGCAGGGCGTAAACAAACGCATTTGAGATGAGATGGAGGAATTGATCTGGCAGAAAACTCCTTCCCTCGCCCCTTTTCCCTGGGCTATTTTCCATCTGGATCTGTGCTTGTGATTAGTTCCTCAACCAGCTAAGGAAGCAGTTGTGGCAGCATGAAGCAGGGGATGACGCAGGGCACATATGAGCAGCTGTGGGTAGGGCTGATAGTTGCTTAGGCCAGAATTACCCAGAGAAGGTATCTCTCCCCATCAGGATTTCAGTGCCATGCTTCCCAGAAAACAGAGGTCCCATCATTTGAGATTAGATTTCATTATATTTATTTAAATTAAAATGGTTTGGGGGAGAACTGGGGAATGTATCTTGACTGGGTGAACATGGAAGAACAAACTTAATAGAATTCTTGGCATTGTAAGTTCTGGCACATGTGCAGAGTTACAGCCAAGACAGGATATAGTAAAGTTTGCTCAGGTGTTTATTATGACAGCAATCTCCCCACATGCAAAAGTTGTCTTCCTCTTCAACTCAGTCACAGGGGGTAAAAAAGTACGTGTTCATTCAGCAACAAAATTGTTATGGGGAAAGCCAGCTGTAGTTGCTGCTGCTGTTGTACTTGGAATGGTTTACACGGCTTTAGCCAGCAGCATTATTTTGGAGGCAGCCAGGAGCCCAAAGCAGGCCTTACACCACAGTTTAGAATGTAGATGAGAACTTACTGCAACCTTAAAATATCTCCTCTATGCCACCCAACATAGGAAAGGCTGAAAATACCCTATCTTCTGTGATACTCCAAATGACTGGGACATGGTCAGGACTGGTGGCTTCCCTATCCCGTTTGGAGAGAGTTTTGCAGGAACTTTTTGAGAGACAGCCAGGTTTATCCATCATCACATTAAATCCCATCATGGATTTACACCAGTGGGCTATTCCTGGCAATCAGCATAGGGATTACCTAAAAATAATCAGATGTGTATTTGAGCAAGACCTCCTATAAACTCCTATTACTGTTTGCTGATCTTTACTGGCTATAGCAAAATGCCACAGAAAGCACGGGTCAGAACTGTGTGTGAAGCATTCACTGCCATGCACAATAGTATGAGCAACCCTCTCTCAATTTCAAATTATTCCTGCTCTCTTCTGGCCCCATTCGCAATTGACGGAAAACAGTACCAAAGTCACTAATCCATAAGACAAGAGGAATATATGGTATCTATGTGGACAAGATGCTCTTTTTACAATGAATGTGGAAATAACTTTTACTACTCTGTTATGCTCAATTCCACAGAGCAAACTGGAATCCAGTTGATGCGAACACTCACAGGAGTTATTTGCACGGAAGCCACCCTGCTTAAGAAACAGAACAGGTGCTGGTGTCAACACAGAAAATATTGGCATTGTGTTCCCCAGCAACTGTATTGGCCACATATAAGAGCTGATTGTTGTATGGTCAATGCCAACCTTTATCTCAGTCCTGAGCTATAAATGAACCAGAAGCACCATAAAGACTGATGGCCATTAAGTAAGCAAACAGTTATTTGTTTTCTTGTCATACCTCACAGCTGTTACAGAAGATTTCTTTATAACTCAGGATCCCAGAAGTTATACAAAAAATACTGGTGTGGGTTGATTGCTGTGCCTGTTCTCTTTGAGTGGAAGCACAGACCACTGCTGGAGTCCTGTGGCAGTGGCATGGGATTGGCATTTCCAAGTTTGCTCGCTGCAATGACCAGCACAGACACCAAGGAAAAGAAAGTCTCAGTCCACAGCTGCAGAGTGACTTGCCAGTTTCACCTGTATAAAAGGATCACATTTGACAGGCAGTGGAGAAGCAGAAAAGTACCATGGTACTGCTGCAGAAAGCTGTCCTACCTTCCCACAGGTGGAGCATGACAGCAAAGAGTGCAGATGTCTCTGTAGCTCCCCATCTCCATACAGAGAAGCCTCAGTGCAAATAAAAGCAAGACTGTACCTTGTCACTGAGCCTGTATGCACGTGTCATAGCAAAGATGTCTTCTGAGGGACAAAATGTGGAGGCTTTGATAAGAACAATCCTGTGTAAGGCCCAGCGAGGACTTTGAGCACAGGAAAGTGGCTGGTACGTACACTCTACCTGTTTGCAACAGTACTGGTGAGATAAGAACAGCATGACAGGTGAGGAAAAAAGCAATAAAAAGATAAGGCTTAGGGATAGGTAAAACTGGAGTCTACACGCTGATTTTTCACAATGAATGAATCAAAATTACTTTGAAATATACATAGGAAAAAACTTCAAACACATTTCAATAGTACAAAAAGAGAAAAAAGCCTGTCTTGTAGGTGAAAAGTTATTTAGTGTGGCAGTCTCACCTTCACTCCTACTGTTGATCTTGCCAGACTGGTGATTCCTGTAGAGAAACAGGTCTTTAGAAGTAAGTGCACTGTGATAATTTCTTTTAGCCCTGTCTACAGTGTTTCTTGTCTAAATATTTGTAGGAAAAATTCATAAAGTACGTGCCTGCTGGGGCTCAGGCTAGGCTGTGGATATTTCTAAGAAGGAATGGCTCAACCTTTCAAGATATGCAATCTATCTCCTCCGACTGCTGTGATGCTTTCTTACTCCCAACAAAGCCTCTGCTCCAGTTTACACACACAAAAGGCTGACGTGTTTTCTGCCTACAGAGGGGGACCCATCTCACAAATTGAAACACCTGCCAGAGAGGAGAAGGGATGCTGAGAAAAGGGTCGGCAGGGCTCGAATTGTCCTTGCAGCGCTGTGGATTTGTCACTATCCAGGGCTTTGTGTAGGTCTGATAGGCTTGGAGCTGGGCCAGCTCCCAAAGGGGGACATCTAAGGGCAGTGCTGCTTTGAAAGGGCTGGGAGGTGAGAAGGAGAGAGAACTTGCCAGGAAACTGAGCAGCCCTTTGATTTCTTCAGTGTTACAGCTGTGTAATTTTCTAAGGAAAATAACCTGACTCTGTTGATCAAGTAGATGGCACTGTGATATCAAAGCTAATGAGGAAAGACAAGCAAGAGAGCGAGGCACAGGTAAAAGAACAGAAAGATGATTCTTCATTATTGGTGTGTTTCAATGTAAAATAAGAGGGCATAGAAATTACCAAGATAAAATATTTTCTGTAGAATTCTTTGAGAACCTTATGTCTGGCAATTCACAAATCAAGAGAGGAACGGAACCTAAAAATGGACTATCATGAGCAACTGGAAAGATTTTCCTTCTAGGTCTCTGTTTTGAATCATTATAGATTTGCAGCTTCACACTAAAATTTCATATTTCCAGACAGTATTTTTATAGCTGAACTGGAGCCTTTTTTTCCCTTTTTCTCCATGTTCCTGTTTGTGCACATTTGTGAAAGAATGAGTGAAAGAATGAACCAGAGATTTGGTAATTTTTGTTTTGTGATGGGGGAGTTGCCTTGGAATAACAAAGATAAGAATCTTAAAAACATTAAGCTTCAGTTCATATACACAAACAAGTTTAATGGGAGTTAGGGTAGGCTGAAAATCCTTGGTTCACAGAGCTTAAAATTAACTCAGTACAGCTGCCTAGGAGGGAAGAAATGGACATATCTGACAAAACTAGACTCAGTCGTGGT